TGGGGATTCTGATAAAACTGAGGATCAAAATCATTCAACTCAAGTGGAGTTGGAAATTGGTTTAGAGGAACAATCAGAGGTTGCATAACAGTCTATTACAGATCAATCCAATTCGAGGTTGACAGACAGAAATATCTTGCCTACTTTACCTACACCCCCAGCACCACAGTATTCTATAGCTAAGGATAGACCTCACCGACAAATTAGACCTCCACAAAAGTATGGGGAAGCAGATTTGGTAGCTTATGCATTGAGTGTGGTTGAAGACATTGATTCCACTGAGGAGCGCATATCCAAAGGCGATCAGTTGTAGTGATTCTAGCAGATGGATGATTTCTATGCAAAAGGATATAGAGTCATTAAGCAAAAATAACAATTGGAACTTCGTGAAATTACCTAGAGGTAAAAAGGTTGTTTCACTGCAAATGGGTGTTCAAATGAAAGAAAGGTATATCAGGGATTGAAGATGCTAGATACAAGGCTAGATTGGTAGCAAAGGACTATAGTCAGATTCCAGGTGTTAACTTTACAGATGTGTTCTCACTATCTGTGTAGCGTATTTTCATCCGGGCTTTACTTGAAGTGGTTGCCAAGAATGACTTGCAGCTTGAGCAGATGGATGTCAAGATAGCATTCTTACATGTAGAACTTGATAAAGGCATCTACATGCAACAACCAAATAGGTTCATAGTCTCTAGAAATGAAGACTATGTGTACTTAATGAAGAAGTCCTTGTATAGACTAAAATAGTCACCGAAGCAATGGTATAAGAGGTTTGATTCATTCATGACAACTCGTGATTTCTTCATATATAATTATGATAGTTGTGTGTACTTCAGAAAGGAAGATAGTAGATCGACTACATATTTGGTATTATATGTTGATGATATGCTTATAACAACCAAAGATAAAATAGTGTTCAGAAAAGTGAAGTTTGAACTCAGCAAGGAGTTTGATATGAAGGATTTCGGTACAACAAAGAAGATTCTTGGTATGAAAATCTTGAGGGACAGAAAGGCTGACATATTGTATTTGAGTCAGAATGGATAGATTGAGAAGGTGCTTGAAAGATTCAATATGGTGAATGTGAAGGCTATCAGTACTCCCTTGGCTGCTCACTTTAAATTATCATCTGACTTGTGTCCTCAATCAGATGAAGACATTCATTACATGTCTTGGGTTCCTTATTCCAGTATAGTCGGTTCACTGATGTATAGTATGGTTTGTACAAGACCTGATTTGGCACATGCAATTAGTGCAGTTAGCAGATACATGGCAAATCTTGGCAAGGAACATTGGAAATCAGTGCTACTTAAGAGGCTCTTCTAATGCTTGTTTGCATTTTGGTAGAAATTTAGATGGAGTCATTGGGTATGTAGATTCAAATTCTACAGAGGATCTTGATAAGATGAGATTACTTACAGGGTATGTGTTTAGTCTTGGAAGCTGTGCTATTAGTTGGAAAGCTACTTCTCAAAATACAGTAGTTTTTTCTACAACAGAAGTGAATACATGGTCATTACAAAGGCATGTAAGGAGGCTATGTGGGTGAGAGGATTGATTGGTGAAATCATTGAAGACTTGTAGATGTCTACAGTATTTTGTGATAGTCAGAGTGCAATTTTCGTCACTAAGGATTAGATGTTTCATGAGAGGCACTACAACAAAAACAGCCTACGACAAGGTTCAAAAAACGTTACCGTAGGCCTACGGCAACGTTTGGACGTGTGTTGTAAATTAAGGTGTTGTCGTAGAGTAAAGAGATACGACAACGTTTTTTGAATGTTGCCGAAAGTCTTCGGTTGCGAAAGAGAGTCTATGGCAACGTTTGCCAAACGTTACCGTATCTATCTACGGCAACATTTCCCAAACGTTGCCATAGGCTGGGTTTATATATATATTATTAACAACAACAATTTATGCAAATAAGTTGGCAAAATTAAAACTCCAACTTATGAACAAATTTTGGAATTGCATAAAAATTGATAATTTCATTACGAATTTTTTAATCCTTACACTTGAACATTAGAATGGAATACAACACCACTTAAGAACCAATACCGCTAGAAGATGATGAATCACTGCTAGAACTAATTAAGCTAACTACTGGCATTGCCTTGAACTCCACCTCCACTTCCATTGTCTTCATCCTTCTCGATCTTGATGGGAGGAAAGCTTGTCACTGGCATATTATCTTCTATATCCCTTAATTCACCCTATGAAAATCAACACAAAAATAATTGAAGACAGAATTTCGTTTTCTCATAAAGCAAGTAGGGGGAGCAAAATAAAAATAGAAAAAGAAGAATTTCATTTTCTCATAAAGTAAGTAGGGAGAGAAAAATAAAAATAGAAAAAGATAGAAACAAAACAATTGGGAAAAAAAAGAAAGAAGAAGAAGAAGAAACAGACACAGATCAATGGAAGTTTTCTTGGCAGCAAAATACTTGGCAAGACAGAAGAGTGCAGTGATTACCATATAAGAATTTCTTGGTTTTGCAACTCTTTCCCTCAACCACTTCACAGTCAAGAACAACCCATTGTCTAGTGTTGCCCGGTAAGATGTCCCATGGCTACTCCTTCCCAGAACTTCAGCTGGCACTCTTGATAATTCCTCAGATGTAAATGAGATTGTATCATCAAGAAAGTACAACTCGCCGGCCAGTCGATCTGGAGATTTGATATCCAGTCCAAAAAGGCATTAATCATAGACCATTAAATGTTAATCACATTTTAGTTTAAATGTTCAAGAAACCATTAATTGAATTACATAACTAGAGCAAATCCAATATCCAATCCATTTTCAGATGAAATACTCATTAATGGAAACTTACAAAACCCATAAAACAAGTCAATGTAAACATCTAGGACAAAATCCAAATGAAGAAATTTTATGAAATCTACTTACAATTGGCCCACGCCTCCATGGAAGAATGTATCCTTGATAATTCACCCTTCCCTTTGCTTCTTCCAAATAGAACTGTAGGAAATTAAAATGCTCTTATTCCAGTAGCAAGGGCTTTGAGATTTTGCGAATGACAGGTCATAAAAATTTACACAGTGAAAACAAGTAACAAA